CGCGTTTGCACATATTTCACAGGGACAATAGCCGTCAGTTGCATTGCAAAATAAGTCCAACAAATGCGAAACTTTGTCAGACATCGTTGTGTGTGTCTTTTTTTTACAAGTCAAGGGCCTTGAACGTTTTTTTCTTTTTGTGCTTCTTTTATCACTATTTCGAGGCTGTTTGGCGAACGTCTGCCAAAAAGGCGTTTTACTTGTGAAGACTTGCTGATTTTTAGAAGAAGACATCGAAGGTCGCGAGAGAGAGAGAGAGAGAGAGAGAAAAGAACACATAAGAAAGTTGAGTATAGAAAAAGGACAATCGTGTGTATGTTAGACAAGCCTCACGAGGAGGCGTTTTAAGGCGAAACAATTTTTTTTCTCTTTACCCCCATTATGCTTTGCCCACAAGCTTATAACTCATAAAAATTTTTTCCATTTTTGATAACAGCCAACTTTTTTTTTTCCTCTTGCTTTTCACTCTTAACATTTATGGTTCCTGTTAACGAGACGACGGATCATTTTTTCTTCGTTGCGCGCCTTATTGGATTTGCCAAAAAAAAAATTTACGCCAATGAAAACCATTTTTCTTATACAATTAGTTATACGCCAATTTAAAAGTGATACTGAAAATATCAAATTAATACAAATTTTCGTTACAATTTGATAATTTTACAGGCACAAGATTAATAATAAAATTTTAATTAAGAAAACTAAAAAATTTATAAAATAAAATAGACTCAAAAGGGAGGGAAATAAATTATAAATTCTAGTTTTTAGATATTTTGAAAAACTTGTTTCGCTGGTATATGATTACTAAAAAAAAAAATAGAAAAAAGCGAGTTATTATCATTTTTATCGTTTGTGTATGGAAAAAAATTTGTATTTTTTTTTTATCTATTTTTATAGAACTTTTAGATTTTTATCTGGGTGTAATTATAATTGATTGCATAATAAGTGCGTTGGTAACGGTACAAGAGTAGATTATGGAGACTTGAGGAAGCCCGATTCTACCGATGCCAATCGGCGAGATTAATTTTGTAATATCGTCGGCTCGAGTGCGCGTTTTTTCTCTCTCTCTCTCTCTATCTTTATAAAGACGGAGGCGAAAATTCTAAGGGACTTGTATAAATTATTCATTGAGGGCGCCAATTGCAAAGTCAAATGGCAGACGATATCGACTTCGATCCAACACCCTTAATTGGAAAAGGTCACTGATTTTATAACGAGAAATAAATTAATTCTATTGATAATTTTTATTTTACCATTTCCCCTTTATCCCACCGTTAGATGTTGACATTTTTATTGTTTCGATTGTTATCAAAGAATACCGTAAAGTTTCATGAGTATTTTATAATTTTTTTTTATTTTTAAATATTAGACATATAGTTTTACTAACATTAGCCAAATTATTTTACTTTAGAGTGATTTTTAAGAGTTAGGGTGGATAAAACTACGGCTAACATGGTGCTTTTTATCCAAAATCTCACCGCCAACCAAAAGCTCCATATTAGCCTTAGTTTTTTTAAACACTAACTAAAATAAATCACTAAGAAATTGCAAAAATTGTTGTAAATATAACCAAAATGTGTTTATTTTACTTTAGAGTGATTTCTAAGAATTAGGATGGACAAAACTACGGCTAATATGGAGCTTTTTATCAAAAATTCCACTATTGACCAAAAGCTCCATATTAGCCTTAGTTTTTTTAAACACTAACTAAAATAAATCACTAAAAAATTGCAAAAATTGTTGTAAATATAACCAAAATGTGTTTATTTTACTTTAGAGTGATTTCTAAGAGTTAGGGTGGATAAAACTACGGCTAACATGGAGCTTTTTATCCAAAATCTCACCGCCAACCAAAAGCTCCATATTAGCCTCAGTTTTACAAACATTAGCTTACGTAAACTACAAATTAATTTTAAAAAAAACTCGTAAAAAGTATCCAAAATGTGATTTCTTTCACTTTAGAGTGATTTCTAAGAGTTAAAGCTAAACAAAACTATATGTAGGAACCGTGTAGAAAAAAATATAAAAAAAATTGCAAAGAAAAACAAGTCTATTATTAATCAAATGATTCATATATACGAGACAAACGTCAAACTTTCACTAGACATGAAAATGCGTATTACCGTTTTTTTTTTTTGTTATTAATGAGGTGTAAAATTGTAAAAAAAAAATCTTTGCACCCAAGATCGTTACGTAACATAAGGTAATATTGACCTAATGGCTTGTAACACGTTAATATGTATATATGTATATATATAGTTAATCCCACGCTTCAATGACTTACCGACTGACTTACTGACTGATGTTGAACCCGCGCCGCGCGTGTATATGATTACGAAATATATAATTCCATTTGGTTCAACGCGAGAACAATTAGTTTTAAAACGATTCATTGTGTTTTTGCTTCCGCGTGTTGGAGGTTTCGAAAATTTCTCACACTTCCGAGAAATTGTGAACGCGCAAATGCATAAGAAAAAAAAAAAAATGATGAGAGAAAAAAAGAACAACGTTGCTGTTGTTTTTTTTTTTTTGTTGTTGTTATTGTTGTTGTTAACATCTTCAATTGTCTTCTTTTCGTTGTGCACGGAAATTATATTATGTGCGAGTTATCTTTATAAAACAAAAGAGGGGAAAGTTTTGTAAATTACAAGTTTGTTTTGTTTTCTTTCTGATATATATATATATATGTATATATTGTATAATTGTCAACTTCATATTATTATTATGACAATTTTACGCACGGATAAGAATCGCATATCCCTCACTTTCCACTTTCTGACACTTGAAACAACTATGACAATTTTAATAACTGGTCTTTATATACACAATGGAGTTAAAGCAGGAAAAGAGCTTTTTGTTTCGCTTAAGAAAACGGATCTTTTTCATTCTAATAAATATGACATATTTTATCATTATATGCTACTAAAATATTATAAAATCTTATTAAACCGCTTTTTATAAATGTAATTGCATCATTGTACACAGATCGATATCTCGAAATAATCGATATATCGAACTAATTGATATATCGAACTAATCGATATCTCGAATCAATCGATATATCGATATCTCGAACTAATCGATATCTCGAATCAATCGATATATCGAAATAATCGATATATCGAACTAATCGATGAATCGAAATAATCGATATACCAAAATAATCGATATATCGAAATAATCGATGTATCGAAATAACCGATATATCGATATCTCGAACTAATTGATATCTCGAACTAATTGATATCTCGAACTAATCGATATCTCGAACTAATCGATATCTCGAACTAATCGATATCTCGAACTAATCGATATCTCGAACTAATCGATATCTCGAATCAATCGACATATCGAACTAATCGATATCTCGAATCAATCGATATATCGAAATAATCGATATATCGAACTTATCGATTTATCGAAATAATTGATATATCGAACTAATCGATGTATCGAAATAATCGATATACCGAAATAATCGATATATCGAAAGAATCGTTGTATCGAAATAACCGATATATCGATATCTCGAACTAATCGATATCTCGAATTAATCGATATATCGAAATAATCGATATATCGTTATCTCGAACTAATTGATATCTCGAACTAATCGATATCTCGAACTAATCGATATCTCAAATCAATCGATATCTCGAATTAATCGATATATCGAAATAATCGATATATCGTTATCTCGAACTAATTGATATCTCGAACTAATCGATATCTCGAACTAATCGATATCTCGAACTAATCGATATCTCAAATCAATCGATATCTCGAATTAATCGATATATCGAAATAATCGATATATCGTTATCTCGAACTAATTGATATCTCGAACTAATCGATATCTCAAATCAATCGATATCTCGAATCAATCGATATATCGAAATAATCGATATATCGAACTTATCGATTTATCGAAATAATTGATATATCGAACTAATCGATGTATCGAAATAATCGATATACCGAAATAATCGATATATCGAAAGAATCGTTGTATCGAAATAACCGATATATCGATATCTCGAACTAATCGATATCTCGAATTAATCGATATATCGAAATAATCGATATATCGTTATCTCGAACTAATTGATATCTCGAACTAATCGATATCTCGAACTAATCGATATCTCAAATCAATCGATATCTCGAATTAATCGATATATCGAAATAATCGATATATCGTTATCTCGAACTAATTGATATCTCGAACTAATCGATATCTCGAACTAATCGATATCTCGAATCAATCGATATATCGAACTAATAGTTAATAGTTAGTTAAAAAGAGCTATTAGAAAGATTACTTTTTCAAACCAATTTTTTTTGTTTTTAAATAATAAAAACAATTTTTTTGAATTTTGAATAAAGTTTTTTCGGAAAGAAAAAATATTAGAAATTTTTTTTACATTTTAAACGAAGAATAAAATTAACTTGACATTTATGTAAAGAAGAAAAAAATTCCATTTCCAGTTGGAAACAATCGTTGCAAGGGCAAAAAGAAAAAATAGGGGGGAGGGAAATTAAAACGCTTCGATGATTTATGCGACGGTTTCTTTAAAGACTGTATTATAAGAGAGAGAGAGAGAACGGCCTCCGTTTCTGGTCATATACAATTTTCTACCTTATGTAACCAATTGTTCGAATCGTAAAGATGAAAATGAGGATTACCATTTTTGCGCGCATAAAATTTGTAATGGCTCATGTTTTTTATTTTTTTATTTATTTTTTTTTTTTTTTATCATCTGACAATAATTTCTTCATTTTATTTCCATATATTGTCCAGTGTATTAAATTTTAAAACCGTAATTATAAAAATAACTTCATGTTTCTTATTTTTTATATTTAATTTTTTCTATTCTATAAAAATAAGTATTAAAAAATTCAAATAGAATTTTTATGTGAAATTTATTTTCTAACAAAAATATAATTCTGATAAAAAAAAAAATTGCTACGATTAAAAGAGGGTTAAAAATAAAGACACTGAATTTATTATTTCTATTGTTTATTTTCAAATTGTTATTGTAATCTACAAATATTGTTTTTTTTCTCCTATTGTAATGTTTTTTTTATTTTTATTTTTTTTTTGCTTCATAAGGCGGACAAGACATGTTACACACACATACGTTATCCCAGATTAAAAATTTCTGATTTCTATTCGCATTCCACTGATCAATAATAATAATAATAATAGTAATAATAATAATAATAATAATTGGAAAACAATCGAGTAGAATGTGAAACTTTTCGTCTGGGACAATTTTTTTTTTTTTTTTTTTTTGCTACTACACATTTTACATAATTTTTTCTCCCATTATAGCATTAAAATTCTTTTTTTTTCTCATTTTTTTCGGGTTTTTCGTATAAAACAAAATGGCATCTTTTTGGCGTTGGAAGAAAAAATACACTTTTCAACTTGTCATTTTTTTTTAACCACGTTTTTATTAAATCGTAATTTCATTTTGTCTCTCTTAATTATTTATTCCTTTCTTTTTTTTTTAATTAATTAATATTTATTACTTTTACAAATGATTTTTTTTTCTTACAATACTTTAGCTTTGATAGTTTCGTTTATTTTACTTTTTTTTTATCATTATACACGTAATCTCATTAATATTCTAATTTATTATTATTAATTAAACACTATTTTGGCATCGTCTCGTTATTTAATTTCACGCTTTTTTTATTTATAAACTTTTTAATTACTTTTTTTAAAAAAAAAAAAAATATTTTTGGAAGTATTTAAATAGGAAAAAAATAGTTTTTCGCAGAGTAGCGAATTTTTTTAAATTACGAGACACAAAGCTAAAATAAAAAAAAAAAAGAGAAACGAATGCTTGTAATTAATTCTAAGAGACTGGCGCATAGAAGGTGAATCTTGTACTGTAGTTGCTTTTGTGAGCGTATAAATACATTTTTACCAATATGACATAATTTTTTTCTCAAAAAGAGATTTTTATTTTTGCAAAAAAAAAGAAAAGAGTATTTCTTAGCTCTGTCCGTCCTTACAATATACATATTACAATCGATAAATGGTGAAATAAAGGGAAATAACTTAGCTTACAGAAAATTTGGAATAGATTACGTTAGTCAAAGGAAAAACGTTCCGGAATGCGCAATTTTTTACGTTATTAAAAAAAAAAAAAAATTTAATTTTTCACTATTATTTTTTAAATTTCAAAAATTGTAGTATTTATTTTTCTTGCAGCATTTCGGCGTTTAACTCTTTAACTGCGCTTAAAAGTATATAGATAGTAGTTTTTTTTTTTGTCAAAAAAAAACTTAATTAATAAATAATCAATTAAATTAGATTATATTACTAATTATTGTATGCGATAATAATTGATGATAATATATTAATGATTCTTATAATACTTTGAGGGGCGGGAGGACGATTGGCTCTTAAAAAAAAAAAAAAAAAAGAAAAAAAAATATCCCGTCCATATAAAATTGACACCATTTTTGTGTCGACAAAGAAAATCAGCCTAAAAAAATTTTTTACTCCTAAAACAAGGGGCGTCGATAATAAATAAATAATAATAATAATAAAGAAAGAAAAAACAAAACACGCACACAATTTTTTTTTCTCTCACACACGTTTTGTAAAGATTCTTTCTTTATATATATATATATTTCTATTCATATATATATATTTGTTTTTTTATTTATATATGTATAAAATGGGAATTTTTTTTTTTTCATTTTTAGGGAGGGAAAAAAAAATCTTCTAATAGTCATTCCTAGTATGTACAAAATAATTCAAATAATAATAATAATACACATAAATTAGACTCCACTTTTCGTCGAAAGAAAAATAAGTGACAACTTTGTGGAGAGCTGACAATAACGGAGTTTGCGCAAAAGACAATTTTTTTTTTTTTTTTTTTTGAGGTTAGCGTCACTTTTTCCTTTCTTTTGCCCAAATTCTGTTTTCTTTCTGTCAGTTCTGATTTTGGACAATTTTTTTTTTCGAATCGAGTAACAGTATTAAACATTCACTCATTTTTATCAAACATTCATTTTTTTTGCATTCTTTTAAAAAAAATTCTTTGTCTTTGTACTGAGTCACGTCGTACTTAATTTTCTATATATATATATATATATATAATTTTTTTTTTCATTTATTTATAACGGGTGCAAAAAGTGTGCATACAAATAAATACGATACAATAAGCGCAAAAATGTACAAATGGATTAAAAATAAGGGTCTTTTTTCATTAAAAAAAAAACTTTGAGATCATTTTCGTGTTTTTTAAATTATTAATCTCGAAAGTGTAAAATTGTGCAGGTGACTACACGCAATTAAAAAGAACTGTCAAAATGCAGTCTTTTTTTTGACTGGATTTTTTTTTCCAGAGATTTTAACGGAGCGCAAACCAGAACGAATATAAATTGAGGGTTAAAAAAAAGTCACCGGTTTATTTGGGTATAAAAAAAAAATCCATCTTGAAAGACTTGGTCCCAACACGGAGAGAAGAGTTTTGAAAATAATTTGCTACTCCGTTCTTGCTATCCCTTTTAGTTTTAATTGAAAATTGTAAAAAAATGAGCATTTCGTCACCTAATAGATAAAAATACTTTTAGTTTTGTATATATAAAAAATAAAGTCTTAAAACGAGTATTTGTTTTTTCGTTCCGGTTTTAACGTCCGTGAACTGAGCAAAAAGTTTTACAATAATTATTATTATTATTTTTTTTTATATATGTAGAGGAGGCTCGGACGTTTGTGCGCACTTTCGAGAAACGCGCAATTTTTTTTTTTTTTTGAACCTGACGACTAGCTAATTAAAAAGAAATGTTTTAGAGGTGCTATCAAACACGGAAATATCGAAATTAATTTTTTTTCCAAATCAATCACGCTTGGACAAAAATTTTTCGCGGGATTTTTAAGCCTCGATTCGACTTGATTTTTTATTTCTTTAGAAAATAAAGAAATTGGGAAGCCCCTGAAATTTAATTTTTTTGGGGTGGTTCGGGGGGGGGGGGGTATGATCGTAGTAGAGAATTTTTCTGTTAGTGTCAATGATGACTTGTAAAAATGGCAGTGTGGATTGAGTCTTTTTTTTTTGATAAAATAGAAACGAAATTTGATGTTAATGCAATCCACTGAGGAAGCCTCTTGTTTTTTTTTTTTGATTTTTGAATTCATTGTTGACTAGATCTCGTCTTTTTTTCAGCCGTTGGCTTGTTTTGCTTCTTGGCACGATTCGGTTATTATGCAGGGATGCATTGGAAATTGAGTTGTCCAGGTCATGGTGGTGCAGGCGGAAGATCTCATCATATATTGGGAATTCGGGATTTTTAGATGATGCGTCAATTGATCTGGAAGCAAAAAAATTTTATTAAGAAATAATTGGAGAAAAAGAACTGGTAAGTAATTTAGTTATGTCAGGTAAAATGTTTGCTAGGATGAATAAAAAGTTAGTTCCGGTTGGTTAAAAAATATTAAGCCCCTCTGTATTGGAAGTTACAATTGCAAAAAAAGCTTTACAACCGAAAATTTAGAAGTTATTAGCAAAAATTTAGCTAGGATCAAAAATTTAGCAGTAATCGAAAATTTAGCAGGAGCCAGAAAATTATCTGTTCGAAAATTTTGCAACACCTTCGCGCTAGGATGAAAATCGTATATACCTTTTTGCGATTCGTGAAGCCAAAAAAGTCAGCTTTTTTTCTGACAGCAACTGGTCCCGAAATTCAGCCCGGCGCAAAGGTGTTCGACTCCTTCCACAGATCCTCCTTTGTTTCTCAAGTTTTTCAACCTGTGAAGAGAAAAAATTTCTAAAAAGGTTTGCAATTTTTTCTTTCTTCAGTGTTCTTCATCAAAATCGAATCAAAATCTATTGAAAATCTTCTTGTTCCGTAATAAAAAAAACCTTCCATATCATCAAATCAAAATTACCTGATGAAACTCCAGGACTGGAAACAGTTGTCGGCGTCTGAACATTAGTTGTATTTGTTGTGGTATTTGTTGTAATGCCCAATTTTCTGAGTCTCATTTTCTCCTCCCACTCTTCCCAACCATGTTTCCCTCTATTGAGATTTCGATGTTGATAAAATACCAAACTAATTCTCGTTGGACTGAGACGATTTGGTTTCTTGAGTGCTGTGGTGCAGTGCATTTCATGTTTTGCACATTCAAAGAGAACGCTACCGTGACCCAGGGCAATTGCCACGCCACCCATTTGTTGATCCTTGAAGCATTCTTCATTGTCAGAAAAATCCGCAACTTCACCCAATGGTTCGGCCTTTGGCGGTGGATCAGGAAGAACTGGAAAATACGATGGAGGACCATAGAGTTCCCATTGCGGTGGTTTCTCCCATCGCCAGGACGGATTTAATCCCTGATAGGGCGAAACACCCTGATATGGAGATGGTGGATAGGTTTCACGTTTCTGTTGATACAATTGTGGTGGATAATCTGGTTGATGGTACTGATAATTGTAACCCTCGAGGTTTGGATAGGATTTGTCAAAAACGGGATAACCGTAACTGTACTGGGGAAAATGTCTTATTGGATGATAGTCTTGTACTTTAATCTCTTCGGACCAATTTAGCCAGTTTTCTTCACGTTTGCCTTCGGGCCAATCTGGTCTTCTTTGAGGTCTATTGGAGGGTTCCTGAGGTTTAAGGAACGTTTTAACAAAGGAATTTTGGAAGATATTTGTATCGACATTTGGAGCTGTTCGAGACGGAGGTCTACCTTTTGGTACTCGAAATGGTGAAGGCTCCGAGGGTTGATCCCTAGGATTAGTGGAAAACGTTTGATCATTCCAGGAATCTTTCGCTGGATCGGCAAATGGATGATGCAAGTCAATTGGTTTCGAAGTATTGTTCTCTTGAGGTGGTTGATAAACTCTCGGTGGTAAATAATCTTGTTCCATTCTGTACTCCGATTTTGGTATTTCTTGATAATTTCCTGGTAAACGCTGCTGTCTAGCCACTGCAAGTTTCGCCTGATATTGATCAACGTGGTCGTAGTTTGGATTTCTAAAACCCTCGGTAGATTTTCTTTGATCGTAGGGCGAAAAATTGGGTTTATTATCGTAGGTGTGGTTCGGATATCTATGATGAAATTCTCCAGGAGGATTGCAATTGGGTAAATTTGAAAATGTGGCAGAAGAATTTGGATTTGAAAAATAAGGATTGGAGAAAGGAGCTCGAGGTGAAAGATGAGATCTTGGCGAGTAAGTTAGTGATTCTGGAGTGTTTGGAGGTCTGTAATCTTGTGAAGTGTCAGTACGTTGAGAAACCGTACTCCTGGGTCTCGTGTCATCCAAACTTGTACTGTCAGGAACAACTTTCATTTCACGTTCCAAACCACTGAATGGATATTCATTCCATGGATTTAGCCAATTGTTTTTACGTTGATCGAGCCAATTTCTGTTCCACTGTTGTTCGTTCTGATAACCCCAGCCTTGATACATCGAAACTGGACTATCCAATACTGTGGATGAAACCTGAGAACTTTGCAATTGGGCATCCATTCCCTCGAATACTGTATTCATTTGTGGATCCCGCCTTTGATCTTGAAAATTAATTCTAGGTTCGTGTTTTTCGGTTGTTTTTACAGTTTCCTTTTTGTTGTGAATTGTTTCTGGTTCCTCTTCCTTACGCTTTTTACCATGTCTTCGACAAGGTTGGAGTGGTACGGAACGAACACGCACCTCACAGGGATATCTGTAAGAAGTATTTGTTAGCTTTTGGAGAACTTAAAACGAAATAGATGATTTTTGGATTTAAGAAACCTACTTGGTTAGAACGTCGAGAGCACCGGCTCGAACTTTCTCCTCTTGGCCTTCCTTGGAGCCGAATTCGTCTGTTTCGTCCATGATGTACAGTGGCAGTACGTGCAATTGTTCGTCCTCTGGTTTAGCGAGGGTTCGATGTTTCGTCAGGCTTACAACAACCGTGCAACCATTGTTCATATTGTGCAAATCGCGATGTGAATGGGCACAAAAATCTATGCAAGCCGTCACACCGGAGAATGGTCTTCCGGGCTTAAAACCCAATCTGCATTCGCTGGCTTCCCGCTCGAATTGGGTTTGATTGTTAAAAGCTTCGGGCGCAAGGCTCAGATACAATGGAGACAGCAGTGTTGCCAACACGTGCATCCTTTCCTCGACCTCTTGTTCCTAAAATCAGATTTTTAGTAAAGACTTTCAGAGTCACTTTAGAGTCTTTAGTATTTCTCTTTTCGGAGACTTACCTCCGATTTGACGGAAAGCCGAAATTTCCTGACAGTCTTGCTTCGGGCATATTTACAGCCATTGTAGTACATGGACCAAGAGCATCCAAATGAAAAACTTGCACCACAAGAATCGGGATCAAGACCCTGACATGCGCAGGTTCTTGGCTCATTGGTTCCACATCTTCTTGTTGTTGGAAGACCAAAACGATTGAGTTTGTGGGTAAGAAGAGAGTAGATTCGATCGGCCTCATGTGATGGTACACCTTCCCAAGCAACAACTGCAACTACTATCCAAGCAGTTGCACATTTATGTCCCTGACGATGTTTGACAATTGTGAGAATTTTCTCATCAATTCCCGAACGACGAAGAATCTGTGAATAATAAATTACCTAAATATTTTTGTTTCTTAGAACAATTCTTGAAAATAGTGAAAAATTTCGTACCCATTTTGCCATAGGACAACCCTGCGTTGTTTTGCTCTCCTTTCCCGTGTAGATGACCTTTTCGAACCTAATAGCGTTACCCTTGAGGCCAGTTCTCCGCTCCAAGTCGTTACGAAGTTCTGGAAGACTGGCGGCCGCACCAAGATGCGTGTAATAGGATCCAGGTTCCGGTGGACCTTGTGTTTGAACTTGTATTTTACTACGACACTTATGTATCGTTTTTTAGGTTTAATGAAAGGGGTAAGCGAAAATATGCCTTAGAAATGGAAACCATTTTTTTGGGCATAAGCTTTCCTCTGCCCCTTTTTTTTTTTTTTTTTTGTTTTCTATCAGTTTTTTTTGTATTATCGAGTTGTTGGTTAGTGTGTTCTCTCGTTGTTAGTGTCGTAGAACTGAATATTCAATGGCAACTCACATTTATCTGGAGGAAAACAGCTGCAGTCGGGTACTTCGGTCCTCACATTGTTCTTGATCTTATCCAGATGTTGATGATGTTGATCTTTTGTGCCGCTTGATGTTTGACTTTTTGGACTAATTGGATCTTCATTTTTAATTTCGGGATCCGATTTTTCGTCTTGTGTTTGTAAACCTTGACAACAACCATCGCGTAGATGTTCAGGTGTTGGTTGCTCGGTTCCACCACGTCGACAGCACCAGGTATCAGTTTCAGGTGAAATTTTAGCTGGTCCTCCATCACCTTGAAAAGGATAATTGTCCTGTTCTTTCTGTTCTGGTTCGATTTTGATAGTTTTTGAAATATCCTCTATCTCTTCGTTAGTCTCTTGCTTTATTATCGGATCAATTTTTTCTTTCACTTCAGGTTCTTCTTTGTTTAATTTCTCATTTTGATATTTGATGAAATTGTCAATTCCACTTTCGGGAATTATATTACCGCCACCAGTCCACTCCCATAAGCCACCACCGTCGGGCAAACTATCGACCCGAGGGTGGTGGCTATGCAATAAAAAATTACCGGTCATGGATTCATTTTGGCCAATTGTCATCAATTGATTGTAGTCTCGCTTTTCTTGTTGTTTTTCATTTTCGTGTGAATCACGTCCCCGATCGTCATTGGGAAATTCCTTTGAACTACTACCATTACGCATTTGATGAATTTGATGCTGATTTTGCTGCATTTGCATTTGATTCTGATTTTGCTGCATCTGTTGGTTTTGCAGATTTTGTATCTGAGAGGGATTTTGCATTTGACCCTGCATTTGATTTTGATTTGGAATATTTTGTATCTGATTTTGTTGTTGGATTCTTGGTTGATTCTGCATTTGGTGTTGTTTATTCAAAATCATTGATTTTAGCCGACTGTTTAAATTCACACGATTTGTTTGATTGTATTCTTGGGTTTCTTGACCATCGGAGGGAAAACCGTTTTTTCCATCTGGATGCCAAATAATTCTTTCGCCAGATGCGGAATTTTGAATCTCTTTAGATTGAGTCCAATTGGAGGGATTTTCGTTTGATCGGGGCGATGACCATTGTTCGATTTTAGTTTCCTGGGTGGTTTGATTTGGCCATGATGGGGGATTTGTAACGGGTGTACGTCGAGGACTTGGTTGGGAATCAGGCCACTGTTGTTGCTGTTGACTGCCGTCACTTTTCATACTGTTTGGCGACCAATTTGGTTGACTAGTAGGCGTATCGGGCCAGGTCATTTGATTCGATGGTGTCAATCGGGGATTTTCAATTTTTTGTTGTTGCCACTGCTGCTGCTGCTGCTGTTGAATTTGTCCCGAGGGTGTCAGTCTTGAATTTTGAGCTTGTTCCTGAGGGCTATTTTGCGACCAGGACGGTGTCATTCTTTGGGAATTTTGATGCTCGGGAATTTTTGGCGAATGTTGAGGCCAGTGTTGAGAGGGGGTGAGTCGATTTTGATTTTGATTTTGCCAATTTTGACTTTTGTGCTGTTCGGAATTATCCCAACTCATGTGACTCTCAGGCCTTTCTGTTTCAGTTTTAGGTTGTAAACCACTCTCGGACCATGGGATTTTACCGTCTGGATTTGAATCGGACCAAATGTGACGATTATTGTCTTGTTGTCGTTCTTGCTGCCATTGATTTTGACCCATTTCCACGTAGCCTGGATATCCGTTAGAGTTGTGTAAACTCTGTGGGCCCTGTTGAAGTGGATACCCAGGCATCTCGTTTCCCGACACATTGTTTGCGGCAATTGTCGCAAAACCTTTGACCTGTGTGTCGGTGGATGGTGGTGGTTGTTGTTGTTGTTGTTGTTGTTGTTGTTGAGGCTGCGATGGTTGAGAATCCATGTGAACGGAACTGCTGCGACTCGTTGGTGTTGTCGCTGGTGGTGGTGCCATAGTCACGTCCTGAAAAGAGGATCATTCGATCTGTAACTTAAAATCGAGCAGTGGTTTAAATAATGGGGCCCCCGGTTTTTCATTCATCAAAATATTCTCCTTGTTTTCTAAAAAGTGATTTTTATCTTCTGTTGGGAAACTCGGACGACATCAAAGCATATCAAATTCCAGTGAATGGATGCTCACCTGTTGTTGATATCCATTAACATATTCCTGTCTTTCGTAACCAACTTGGCCTGGAGTGACGGCTGGTTCCATAAATTGACCATTTAGAGGTCTCTGAGGGGTTGTTGTGGTATTCTGCGAAGCAACAGTGGCCAAGGGTGATGGCTGTCCGGTAATAGTATATTGTCCCGTTGATCCGGCACGTTGAAAAGCGGACTGATCGGTTGTTATGAATGTTTGTTGCTGATAGGTTACTGGTTGGGGATGATAGGGAGTTGCCGCACTGTACTGTGGATGATACCTCAATTCCTCCAATTGATTGGGAGCAGGAATTTGTTGAATGAATTGTTGAGGTGGCCATGTTGTTGGTGTGGCTTCAACTGTTACTGTTCCCACACCCTGATGCCATACTGTGTTTCCAAAACCAGCTGCTGGCCGAAAACCCGTACCACTATCACCGTAGAATGGCATTACTCCCGGCGACTGAAACAAAAAGAATTTTATTATTTTTTTTTGTTTTGCTGAAATTATTATTTTTTCCCCTCTTGCACTGATTGTAGATTATTCACAATCTCTTACTTTGATATTCTTGCGAGGAACTGAATAATGTAAACTCAACGTGATTTAGTTCTCTCTAAAGTATAGACTAGTTTCTCTCTCTTGATGCTTAAATTTTTAGTAGGATTTTCAGAGCACGTAGACCGTCTTAAAGTACTCGCTGCGATCAAGGTAAGAGATAAAGAAAACTTTATCCTCGAAAACTCCATGCACACCTGAATCCTTTTTTTAAAAAAATAGTTTCTAATTTGATTTCCTAGATGAATTGGATTATGTACACGTAATGAGGAAAGCCAGAATCTGTAAGCATCCATTATCTCTCTAATCTCCTATAGTAAATTGGTCACAAGGAGTATGTATCGTTCAATGTGTTTAGTTAACCCTTCCGACATTTCCCTCTATAGGTTCTCTCCCTCTATCGTTTTGCAGGTTATTACGCTTGTTGCCAGACACGGTTCAATTAATCATCATTGAATTACCCAAGCTAATCCCGGCGTCAAAATTGTGGTCTTAAATACAATTCCACAATTGTTTTTAAAAAATATCTGAACTAAAAATTTAATAATCCCTCGAAGTTAGGGGTGGGAAAATTGACGTTAATAATTTAGAGACTGCAGGCGATGCCATTAAATTTTGATGATAACAAAATTTTGTAATCTCCTAGTGGAGATTTTAATCGCATCCTAATATGATTATAGTATCTAACAAGTTTGACGCTTCACTTCATTAAGGTTGATTATTATTTACGATGATGATGATGATGATGATGATGATGGGATTTGTATTAAATTCAAGAGAGAAAAAAAAATTCAGTCACAATATCCCCCTTTAAGAGATCAGAAGAAAAGGAATGATTCGAGGTCTGACAACTAGTCGAGTGTTCTGGTTTCCTTGAGGATAAGTCGGGGTGGTAAACAGACTACTCACCCTTAAAGTGGTCGTGAATCGGTGTTTGTGGTCGAGGTTGATAGCATCGAAGGCGGGCCAAAGTGAGAGTGAGAACCGGAATTCTCACTCACTCTTTGAGCCATTACAACTCTCTCTCTCTCTCTTAGTCTGTGTGGCTCTTTTCACCCTCATCCTCAAGGGGAAAATCCTTCCGTTCTCGTGCCACCGTGACCTAAGGCAACTCGATTTACCTCCAGGCGTGATGGAACGAGAGACGTTTTGACGACAGCACCCAAACATAACCCACGGGACAATCCCTGTTCCGCTTCCTTCTAATTCCAACTCAAGCGGTTAATGTTCCGACATTTATCAACTACTAGTCTGATGGTGTGAGTGCATTCCCCCTTTTGCCGCAGCGAATAGTTCCACGATAATTGGGATGGATTAAGTTAATTGAGAGAATCTAGTGATTCAATTGTCATCTATATCAAGATGTTTTAGCAAAATGATGATATTTTTTAAATTCGAAGAAATGGAAATCAAAATTCTTCCTTTTGGCTCAAGGATTTCCTTCAAAGAAATTGGATTTATATATCAAAGGAACAGAATTTTTATCAACTGGATGAATAAACCAACGGGATTTTGTTAAACAGAAACGGATTTACTTAAAAATGAACGGATTTTGATGGGGACTGGATTTTCCTTAACTGCGGATAAAGACAGCATTTTGTTAAGAAACGGATTTCCTCAAAAGAAGATGGATTTGGTTCAAAGGAACAGAATTTCCCTTTACTGGATACAAAAACCAACGGAATTTCGTTAACCAGAAACGGATTTCTCCAAAAACGTATGGATTTAGATCAAAAGAACTGAACCTCCATAAAATAGAAGTCAAAAGAAACTGGATTTTGTTAAATGGAAACGGATTTGGATCAAAGGAACACGATTTCTATCAAAATGAAAAAAAAAACCCTCGCCCCCTCTGGAAACTCAAAGAAATCCAGCTCTTCAACATCCCTTTCTTCCCAAAATTAGATTAAAAGGATTAGTATATCTTTTTTATCTTGTAATTTGATCGGCTTTTGTTAAAAAAAAAGAAGTTCTTTTTTCGGGATGATTGAAAAAGTTTGTTAATTAAGATCCCCTTGCGGCATACACCTTAAGAGATATCGAAACTTTTAGGAACATTGATCTTGTCCGCATAATTCCCCTCAATTGAAAATTGACGTATACAAAAAAAATTTTTAATTAGAATTATTTTTCAAAAATCCAATACATCTAAACTAGAATTTAATAATCCAATTTTGCTAAAATGTAATGTTCAGTTGAATGAGCTTTGGGAATTTAGCGGCTTTGGTGTCTTGCATAATAGTCAATTGCAACAATCATCAACCTAGTTATTGGCAATTACCACATATTTGCCTTTCGAGGATATTATAAACGGAATATTCGAAGGGGGAACTTTGATTGTTCCACAATCAATAAATTATTATTATTATTATTATTATTAAAAATTCCAATTTCATTGTAATATAATTTTTCCCCCTTCATAATTTGATTAAATGTAAAAAAAATGTGATTTATAACTTTGGTCGTTGCACTTTGACCCTGATCAAAATCAGAGGTTATTTAATGTGATTTGATTCTCAATGAGTCATAGTATAACGTGACTTCTGTTTTATTTTCATTTTTTTTTTTTTTTTTTTTTTTATTTTGTCGCATTCAGTGTTCGTTGTGAAATGTCAGTCTGACACATACACACGAACGTGAAAAGAAGGGGTAGACTGGCGGTAGACGCAAGCTGCGGGGGCGGTGACCGCCCGCCAACGCGAATCAATACCCGCAGGAACAGGAACCACCGACCTCTCTCTCTCTCTCTCACTCTCGAAAAGGGGTTCTTGAGAGGCAAGAGGTGAAGGGAGAGACACAACTTGAGAGTGAGGGCATACACCCCTTTTTCCTCTCCCTCCGCACCCCTTCCTTATCCCGTGTTCCTCAAGATACGATTAAGGGTAGAAACCTCAAATGGGCTCTTCAAAGATGGATAGATGCATCTCAAATCCCATTTCCCTCATCCTCCATCATCAATATATTCTCAAAACTTGCCGCGGAAATTCCTAGATCAATTAGGTGTGTCAAAATTGAATTTCATATCTGATTTTGAAACTCATCTCGGTAGGGTAGATGAAATAAAATTATATATTAATGAATTGGGATATTTTTTTTAGAGAAAAACTGATTCGATTCCACGTGAAAAATTAGTAGAAAGACATGTGTGAGTTGATTTTTAGACATTTTTGGCTTGTATAGGCGTGCTGTGGCTGAAACCTGGCTGTAACTTGGTTAAAATCTGGTTGTAAAGTGGTTTAAACCTGGCTATAACGTGGCTACAATTTGGCTAAAACGTGGTTATAACATGGCTGTAAAGAGACTAAAACCTGTCTAAAACGTGGCTAAAACCTGGTTGTACCCATGGCTATAATTTGGCTCATACCTGGCTATAACGTGGCTATAAAATGGCTCAAACCTGGCCATAAAGTGGCTCAAACCTGGCAATAACTTGGCTAAAACCTGGTTGTAACGTGGCTATAATTTGGCTAAAAACGGGTTATAATGTGGTTGTAAAGTGGCTACAATCCGGTTAAAACCTGGTTATAAAGTGGCTAAAACCTGGCTATAACCTGGTAGTAGTATGGCTATAATCTGGCTACAACTTGGCGGTAGCAGGGCTATAACGTAAAACTATTCTGGCTCAAACCTGACTAGAAAGAGAAAGATTACAAACTCGCGAATTAAAATCCCCCATAAAACAAAGTCGCATTTGATTAAAAAAATCGAAAGTCGACAGAAGAAAAGATTTAAAAAAAAAGAATATAAGTCAAGAGGGAAAAAAGTTTATAAGGACAAAGGAGCTATACCAAAAAAAAAAAAATTCTCTCCAAAGGTAAAAAGACAAAAAGCATTGTTAAAGAATGTAGCTCTCGATATAGAGGGAGATGCTAAGGGGTGACCTTGAGCTGGCGAAGGTCATTTCGAATGGAAGGAAGCAGACACAAACACGCATCTAAGAAGATTTTTGTCCAGTTCTGTTATAGCTTGTACCATAAATAAAAGCGTACGCGTATAGAAAATGTTGTGTGGTATATAGTTCGGTGTGTGGTTGAAGTGGTTTGGATAGTGGAGGAGTAAACAGACGGCGCGAGCAGACTGGTTTGCCCAGTAACCTCGCACTCACTCGGCATTCAAGTGCATACCTATATAGATAAAAGTGTATTTGTGTGTGTGTGTGTGTAAAAGAGAAGTCGCGAAGAGAAGTGGAGGATCAAGATCCTCCACTCGAGAGTCCATTGCAAGAGGGAAACAGCATTCCATTCGAAAACGTCTCTCTCTCTCTCCCCCTTTTTTCTCTCCTCTTTCTTATCTCTCTAAATCCGCGCACACTTCCTTTTCCCTTCTTTTCACTTTCGACAAAAAGAAAGTCCTACTTGAACAACATCCAAAGAAAAACTATCACCATCCACTTCCGATGGTATCTTTAGACAAGTTTGCCAGTGACCCAGAGACGAAAGACTGGATCAATTTTTTTTTTTTTTTAGAAGAATTTGTAGGAATTCTTACTTTAAGTGATGAAAAATAATTTATACTTTTTGATATAGAGGAATTTTTTTTTTTTAACTCACCATGGAGACAACTGGTGCTGCAGTGTTTCCGTTCCTGAGACCCGTTTGTTGACTCGCGGGATTTAGATTGTCCTTGGCCTGCATGGGATCGGAGTGTATAGCCGGTTGTGTTTGTTGTTGTTGTTGTTGTTGCTGTTGTTGCTGCTGTTGTTGCTGCTGCTGATGAGGCAGTCCACCGATTCCTGCTTGCGGACTTCCTAGACCCGCCGGCGCACTGTCTGGTGTACTGACTTGTCGAGCAATTTTTCTGTAACTCTGCAAAAAGAAGAAAAATTATTGTAAAAATTTATGGAAAAGAATTTTTTTGCGAAAGTAGCCAAAACCTGGCTATAAAGTGGCTAAAACTCGGCCAAAACCTGGTTAAAACGTGGCTGTGCCGTGGTTAAAAATCGGCTAAAACCAGGCTCAAACTAGGCCAAAACCTGGTTATAAAATGGCTGAACCTTGGCCACAACCTGGTTGTAACGTGGCTCAACTAGGCCAAAACCTAGTTATAGCATGGCTATTTACCGTGGCTAAAAGCTGGTTAAAACTTGGCTGTGCCGTGGCTAAAAATTGGCCAAAACCTGGCGTATTGTGGCTATTAAGTGGCTAAAACCTGGCTATAACGTCGCTAAAACCTGGCTTATCGTGGCTATAAAGTGGCTAAAACCTGGCTATAACGTAGCTAAAACCTGGCTTATCATGGCTATAAAGTGGCCAAAACTTGGCTATAGCTTGGCTGTACTGTGGCTATAACCTGGTTACAACCTGGCTTATCGTGGCTATAAAGTGGCTAAAACTTGGCTGTAGCTTGGCTGAAACCTGGTTACAACCTGGCTGCATCATGGCTGTAACATGGTTGTAGCAGTGCTGTATTTAAATTTCAACAACTGGCAGCAAACACTAATTAATTATGAATAAAATAAATAGAAAAAATAGTTCAATTTTCTACAACAAATCATAAAAAAAAATTATTAAAACTTGGGGCTTGATATTGTTTGACCCCAATACTAAATATATCTTCAAGTAGGCCGTGAGTAAATGGTTTCTATAGTTCGCCATCTTACACTTGGTCAAAATTATATTTGCAAACAAGAATAAATTAACACCTTTCGAATTTCCCTCTTGAAAGAGTCCGACAAAATTTTTGACAAAAAATAATTCTCCAGTTCATTGTAAAATTATAAGTCTTTTCTCAAATATTAATTCACTAATATTTTTTTCTTTCCGTTTTTGAAACTATACTGAAACAAGTGAATTTTTTTCAAATTTGCTTAAATAATAATTTTTCATCCTCTCATATATGTCATATGAAATGATTGCATCAATTTTACATTCCGCATGTCAGATTTAACTCAATAAGCGAATGCATTCAGTAATAATAAAGGTTGCGTTTTGCTGATATTAAATTTATAGCGACATACAAGGCCTTAGGCCCAAGTCTTCCTTCAAATTCTATTTCAAAATTTATAAATTCAATTTAAAAAAAATGATAAAAAAATCTATTTTAAGAGAAAATTACGTTCTCATATCGTAAATTATTAATAATGTTTGCCCTCTGAAATTCTCAGGTAAACTTTAATACTCTTGGAGAGATAAAAAAAAAAAAATTCGGAATTTCTTTTTCATTCTTGTAGCCGAAGCAAAAAAAAAAATATATTGCAAAAAATTTACTTTATGTATTTTTTTTTTATTTCGTATTTGCTGCTGTACGACATTTAATGTCCACAAAATGACTTTACTTAAGACCGGAAATGCGAACTTATTGCCCAGAATCCTTCTCTAAAGAAATTGAGTGGCTGTGTGCAATTACGGTGGGTCTTCTCCCTTTACCGCGCGCACACTTCAACCCGTAAGTTTAAATGCCAGTCTCATCAAATAAATGAAATTGCTTTTTTTTTTCCTCAAATATTAACATCTAATCCGCGAGAGGGCTGCAAAAAAAAACAAAAAAAGAAAAAAAAAATTTCTCATTATTTTCTTCATTAACACAGGAGAAACTATTTTGAAATCTTTTTGATAAAAATAAAATATCATTTGTATAAAAAATCCCAAATTGGATTTTTTTTTCATAATTCCAATTTATTTTTTTTGAGGAGAATTAAACAAAATATTAAAAATGTAAATAAAAAATTAAAAAATAAATAAATTTTAATTAAACAATTAAAAATTGTTCATTCATTTATTTTCAATTTGAATGAGAGACAAAGATATTTTGTTAATTATCTGAATGTGGGGGAAGGGGGAGGGACAATTTGTCAGTAATTTGAGGCGATAGTAACGACTGCTCGTAAAATGCACGTCTGCGAACAATTGCTCATGACATTCACGGTTGTGTCTGCAATGGAAGACTCGGAATTTTGCCGACAATGAAGACTTGAAAAAAAAAAAAAAAAAAATTTTTATCCTTGAGAAAAATTAGCGCAGACATAATGTCGTCGACCACAAGATACATTTATTATTAATAACTTGTACCAAAAAAATTATTTTTATTATTATATTAATTTTACAAATTATTAATTTTTTTGACAATTATAATTTTTATTTCACAATTATATTTTCTTACAATTTTTAAATTTTTTATTCCAATTATAATTTTTTTCTTACAATTATTAATTATTTTCATTATTATTTTTATTGTATTTTATTTTTTTAATTACACTATTATTTTATTCGGAAATTTTTTTTTTTATTAAAGTTCATTAGTAAAATAAAATTCTCATCAATAAATAAAAAAAAAAAAAAAAAACTTTCAGAGAAAAAATTTATCATCTCCAAAAGAGAAAAATACCTGTGGGTGAAATGAATGAGCGAATGCACTTCATCCCTTTCAGTTTTAATGATGTGAGACATTTTTCAGTAGGGAAAGTAGGATAAAAGAATTGCATCGCAGTTTTGCAAAAAAAAAAGAAAAAAAAACGATCTCTCGTTATGAAGATTTACAGTAACCAACAGTATTTTAAAAATACATTTTTAAATTGTCCTCGAAAATAAAAAATTTATTTTTTACAAAAGAATTTTAAATTCTAATTTAAACAAATAATAATAATAATAATAATAATAATAATAATAATTAATACTATATTTTAGTCATAAACTGTAAAGTCGAATTATTTTTGGGACGTAATCCCTAGTGTAGGTCTTTCCTACCAAAATGGTATGTGACAGTATAATAAAGTTATTATATTTACAAAAACGCCTTATATACCTTTTTTATATATATTAATATACAATATAATAATAATTATAATAATAGTAATATTAAATTTGTAACATAATAATTTTTGCATATTTTTAACGCAATATTCAATATTAAAAATAGAATAAAACAAAAACGTTGAGAAGGAATAAAAACTATTCACCGTGTTTATACCGTGAAATTTCATCGATATTCTTATACTCCAAATTTTTCTTCTTCTTCTTCCTTTTTGTGTATTGTTTATTCAACAAAAATTATATGAAAAGATCAGGTATTTAGGCCCCCCGGAAAAAAAAATAATAATAGATAATATTTTTATTATAAGAATCCCTCTTTTATTTAACGGAAATTGAAGCAGAAATTATTTTCTGATTCTAAAGCCCTAAAAAAAAATTCGTTGTGGTAAATTTTTATTTGATTAAGAAATTTTAGTTTGGGATAATAGAAAATTTTATAGCCTCACGTCAATCATCTTTTTCTTCCGAGTATAGACTAGAGAAAAAAAAATAATACGCGCCTCCCCGCGGTAATATTTTTTTTGACCTGTGAGTTAAAAGATCAAATAAACCATATGTAATATGGGTAGGGGAATCCCTTATTCCTTAAGGCAATGAGTTTCTATGCCTAGGGGGAAAACCCCTCAATTTTCAAATACGCACATACACGTGGACTATCCACGTGGTTTTTTTTTTTTTTTTGCTATTCCCTCCCCGCATTTTTCTTTCAAATTTTGTTACCAATTTACACCTCTCACGAATTAAAATTATTCTAAAAAAAAAAAAAAATTAATAAAAACTATTTGTAAAAAAAAAATTTTTTTTTTAAATACAAGAAAGAAGAATATTGAAGTTTAAAAAATATTTTCTTACCCTACGGATGTAAAATTCCTTGAAGAGAGAAAAAAAAAATAAATTTCTACTCCACTCGCGATGCCGGTAGCCGGCTTTTTATGATTTTTCTTTACACAATTGATAAAATCACGTGACACATGAAAAAGTAAGTTCACAATATTCGGAAAAAAAATTTTTTTTTTTTTTTTTTTCGGTAAGGAAGAATTTATTTTGAACTAACAATTTTGCAGTGTGAACGCGAGCGAATCCTAACGCGGTCTTGTGTGTCGCGTTATACTCTGGGTTTGCCTATCGTCTCTCTCTCTCTTTTCGTCTTCATCTGCTTCTCTTGCTCGCGCTGTTTTTCCTCCCCCACCATTTTCGCCCCCCTCTGAGTACGCCGCACCTCTCTTTTGCCCCCATGAGTCTGCGAATCCCGGTTGGTCGTTTCCAGTGCTGCCAATCGTCTAGTAGGTGCGTCAAGGAAGCGATTCGGGTGCCTTTTCGTCAGTTTCCCATGCAGCGAGCAAGTTCGGAAACATTCGTGTCGTTTCGGATGGCAATATTCCCACCCCCCTCCCTCTCCTTTTCTGCCTATAACCGTCCTCCCCCCCCCCTTCCCACACTTCTCTTGTCTCCGCCAATGCTTTTCGTTTCTTTCGATATATAAACATTTCCTTGCCGCTGTTGCTGGAGGCTGGGAATTCCCCTTGCTTCTTCTCCGCGCTTGCACCAGACGCTCTCGTCTCCTTCCTCTTTTTTAGTCTCTTTTTGGTATCCTTCTCTCTTTCTCTCTCCTTCTTCATCTTCTCTTCTTGTTTCACCTCGTCCCTCTCTTCTTTCTCCTCCGGAGGTGCATGCTCAGCCCCAACGACCTAACCCTTCCCTCCTCTCTGCACACCCTCCATCGTCCAAGCTGGGTAGCCATGGCGATACGAGCCTCGAACGTCGACGAAACTTTTGTTTTTATTATATATATATATGCATGTATTTATTCCGCAAACAGAAAAATAATTAATATACCACATTTTTAAGAGAATTGAAACGAATTTGGAAAAAAAAACATTGCGAATATGACTTTAAGAATTTCCCATTTTAGATTTTAAACGATTTCAAAATCAATTTGGAGAGATTTTTAGAAAAAGTTAAATTGTCCTTTCCTAATTTTTATGAAATCTTCGACAAGTTGGGATCCACTTTGGAGGAATTTTAGAAAAAAAAAACAAATTGCCCTAGCCTTTTTC